GACATCAAGAAGTGATATAATACCTAAAGTGTATTGTTGAAAAAATTACCTCTCCTAGTGGCTACTGAACTTTGGTGAAACAGGCCACAAACACCAGCTAGGAGCTAGCTATGGTATGGAATTGAAAATTAAACCATAAAACTGAGAGCCTTCAAATAATAATGAAGAGGGCATTTGGGATGCACAAGCATACCTAAGGTGCAAAGCAAGGGCTTCAAAAGCCCTTGGAGGACCTTTCTTGGACTGCATGGAGAAGAAAAGGCACTTTGTCTGTATCCTGTACACTGATATTTGAGAACACTGATTTTGTTGAACATTTTACAATGCACTTCAATTTCTTTCCTATCGAGAAAGAAATGTGGTTTAAAAGGGCTCCTCAGCTGCAAATGTCTTCTTACAAAGAGATTTAAATTTAATCTTTTTGGAGGAAAAAAAATTATGCTTTTTGGCCTCTGAAGTTTCTTTCTAAATCAGAGTGCTGAACCTCCAAATGAAGCTCATGGAGCTAAGATTTGTACTTGCTGCTGAGCAGCAAATGCCAGCAAGGTAATGCATTTTGTTAGGTCCTGATGGCAAGAACAATCTATTAGGAAAGCTGGGAAGGTCAAATGTGACATAATGAAATATTTTTTGCAGCCATAAAGCTTCTCTGTACCCCTGTGCTGGGGGTCAGACACGCCAGGGTGTGCTCACCAGGGACGGAGCTCAGAGAATGTATTCGGAGACGATGTCGGCCAGTCTTGGCTCCGCAGGGAACTGCAAGTCGCCTTCCGTTGTGTCTAATGAATAATAGATATGATGAAATACGTGTTTCAAAAACTGATCATGCTCTGCACCTCAGGGTGGCCAGCCCAGAGGTCGGGTTCAGCTGTTTCACCTGTTTGTTTGACTGCCAGCAGGGCATGTCCTGACCCTCCCTGCCTCAGGCAGGTGGGATGCTGCTGCTGCTGTCGCTGCGTTTTGTGCCTCTGAGCTGCTTCTCTTTCCTTGTACTTGGGCTTTTCAGAGTGTCTTGAACCTTTTACAAAAGGAAAATAACAGCTTCTTGACACTAGCTTGTGTAAGTTCATACAAAGCTCCTGGTACCGTGTAAGCTTTATGGAATCATGGAATCATAGAATGTTTGGGTTGGAATGGATGTTAAAGACCATCTAGTTCCAACCCCCCTGCAGGGGCACCTCCCACTAGACCAGGTTGCTCAGAGGCCATCCAACCTGGCCTTGAACACTTCCAGGAATGGGGCAGCCACAGCTTCTCTGGGCAACCTGTGCCAGGGCCTCACCACCCTCACAGGGAAGAATCATACTAGTCTTTCAGAGAAAGCTTATTTCACTAAAAATCTACATAAGCAAGGCCACAAAGATCTTGCACATGGCTTGAGTTCCTGCTTTGATTCTTCTGCAGAACCACAGTCTCAGTACAGCCCTGACCATGGCTGAGTTACAGGCTCAGCAACAAGGGACCATGTTATGATATAGCTACACTTTCAGAACAGAGTCAGACCCAGCTTATTACTGCACTGACGAACTGCATTAGCTGAGCTGTTTCTTGGAGATCTGTACTCAAAACAGATTATATTTCAACACAAAGACCACCAGTCACTGTGGCAGTGGTCTGTGCTGCTGCTCTGCTAAATGGTTCACGAGTGACTTTGTTACAAGAATCTACCTGCCTTCTTACCTGCAATCTTGTCTCTGAAATGACCAAGGAGGTTTCCACGCTGTGGCTCATCATCCTGGTCAGGTTCTTGCTAGGAGTCCCTATTGGCTTTGGGTGTAAAAACTAGGATGTTTGGACAGTAAAACAAATGAACAGCTTTTAACAGTGTAAAACATTTTGAGTTTGTTGCCAGCCAGAGCTCAGCATGTTTAATTAAGGTGTGTGAGCTTGAAGGAGGCTAATCTTTGCTGCTGAGGCTAATTTTTGCTGGTTTATTAGATAATACAGTAAAAGACAGATTGAGACTCCTTCTCCCCCACCCCATTTTCTTTTCCTTGTCACCAGCAGTACGTGGGGAGGGTGAGGGAGATAAAATCCCTTCACATGAAATCATCCTAATGAAGCACCAGAATCAGTACAATTAACCAGAGGCACAGCTGTACACCTCGCTGTGCACGCCCAGGTCCCACTCTCCATTTCCTCTGTGAGGATATTCCACAATGACTGTTTGGGCTAAAGTTCATAATTAAAGCTGTAAATCTTGGCTCACTGCTAAATTCGCCTGCCCACAGAGAGAGAGTGGGAAGGAGAAGGAGGAGAGTCTATCTCCCCCCTGGGAAGCCTTGTTTACTAGTATTTTGTAGGTTTTCTTATGCTGGTGGTGCTTATCAGGCTTGCAAAGAGGCAAGTACTGAGAGCACCCCAATACAGAGAATTTTTGGGGGCCTGACAACCGTCAGCAGTGCTGGGTGGTTTCCCTTTTGCAGCAGAGCCCCGCAACACAGACACATCCTGGAGCCAGATCTTCACACAGGGTTCCCACACTGGCAGTGAGATTTGAGGGTTGATCAGGGACGTGCTGATGCCACAAAGCACAGATGAAAGCCTCAAAGTGAAACACTGAACAGTGAATCATCCCCACTGCTGCCTGTACAGCAGCGCCCTGGGAAGAGCAGGGCAGCAGTGGGTCCCCAAGAAAGACCTTAGGAGGTCATTGGATACCCATGAATTATTGTAGTTTAATTCCAGTGAGCAATCTGCTACCTGTAATTAATAGCTGCAGTTGCATGTGTTTGCAGCAGAAAACTGGTGAGCAAATCTCTGCTTTCTTAGTTCTGCAGCATGTGCAGGGATGAGACGGAGCACAGCTCCTGCCAGGCACAGCCCCGCTTTCCCAGCTGTAACCTGCCACATTCCCAGGCAGAGCTCTCTCAGCCCTGCAAATCCTCGTCTGGAAGCATCTTGACATGCCCCAGTTATGGACAAAACGGAGTGCCACAGCAAAAACTAGTGGAGTGTTTACCACATTTGAGGCTATAACACATTTTCTGACAGACCACCTGAATTTTAGACTTTTTTTTCCCGCAGAGGAAATGGCATATCTAATTTACCAGAAACTATGATCCTTTCTCACACACTTCTGATGGGGCTGCTTATATGCAAATCCCTCCTTATCGCTTGTCCATAATCTGTCTAAATGTGGCAGAATAAGGTTTTATTAATAATATTTGCATGCCCATGGCACAGGGCTGAGTCATCGCTTGCAGTACACAAAGCAAGAGAAAGCAGTAGAGCATGTCTATTAATAAACATGATAAATCCATACCTTTGTGAGTAAAAGTTGCACATCTTTGCTGAAGAGACAGCCTTTTGTTGAAATAGTGATTTATTGCTATTAAATTTGTGTGATTAGCCAAGCTTGGAAAGCAGACCCAGAAAATCTCACGGCTGCCTACTCGCATGATGAGTTTCACCAAGCATGGAAATGCAGGAACATTTTATCAAGTCAGAACTTCAGAAGAAAACATTTAATTCCAAGGTCAGTTCCTGATGATACAGTTATGGATTTTCAGTTGCAAAATTACTACATGATTTATAATGAAGTTTATATTTGAAATGCTAAAACATTCACACACATACCCCCAAAAAAGGAAAGTCAGGAGAAAGGCTGTGATAAAGCCAAATTATATGGCATCAATCAGCCATCTGTTGTGCACTGTGGTTTCTAATGATCAAGGTGAAAACTTCAGTAGGCTGTAAAAATAGAGACTTACAAGATCCACTCCCCCTGCAGTTGATGCTTTCAGCAGGGATAACAGGATATAATGTACACTGGAATTACCACCAAGTTCAGTTGCATCATCAACAAGCCTGAGCACCTGATGGCCAGGGTGGGACATTCAGCCAGGACACATCATTATCTGTGGATGCACCGAGTAAGGCTTTGTCATGAAGATCTGACGAATTTTGGAAAGGAAGGGAGAATCCCCTACAGTAGTGTGAAAATCCACCTCCTCTGAACGACCCCGCAGAGCCCTGGAGTGTTCCATGTGCTGTCTGCTAATCTTTATGTAATTAGTAAATGAACTTTCATTTGGAGATGGTCCTTTATATGACCACCCACCCTTTGCTAGCTCATTTTATTTATCTCAAATATCTCAATAACAGAATGAGTCCATCAAACTTATCATCTAATTAAAATTCATTGAAATCTTTTGGGGTGGTTACCTTTGTGCCGTGCACCCATTTTATAAGGCTCTAAAGGTGATGTTTTCTTTACTTTTCCTCCTGTAGGATATTTTCCTTGTCACTTGTGCCAAATCAGAAGAAAATGTGATTTGATTTTACAGAAGTGGTTGCTCTCACTGTGTCTTCTCACTGGGGCTGAGCTCATCATTATGATCCCTTCTTTTGAACTGATCACCAAGGTGATTTGGCCATGGAGGAGTGAGGCCCCCAAGCTTCAGAGAAAGGAGCCAGGGCTTGTTGGTTCATAATGAGCAACTCAGACTTTTGTCATCTCCTTTACACCGATGTGGGAGCAGGGAGATACAAACTCTGCAGTAATTACCCACATACATGGCCAGACAAGGAGCAGAGGAGAACTTTTTTGTGAAGATGCAGCTGTTTTTCATTTGTCTCTTCCATGGATGATCTTTTCTTTTTATTTTACACAGGACACTCTTTCTCTATGACTATCTGAAAAATGCAAATGCGAATCTGTATGCTGATTGCATGAAGATTATCAAGATACTCTGGATGGATGATATACCAGCTCCTAGAAAAAGATAGTGATGGGTCTGTGAGCCTGCTTTCATTTGACTTGTTGCAAGTCTTGGGGCCAAGGTCAGCAGGTGCAGGTTGGGTCGGATTTCAGGAACATAACTGATTAAATCCTGGCAGGCAGCTGCCAGCCAGAACCCTGCAAGAGGATGCTCCTTGTGCCAACTTCTCTGCTTGAAAGCAGATTGCAGAGCATAAATCTGAACCCACAACTCTGTGATAGTCAGCCCATTTCATAGGGTTTGGCTGCAGCTAGGAGAGGTTGCAGTCATGGGGTGATGGGCTTGGGGTGCTGGGCTCAGCATCTGCACCATTGCCTGAAAAATAACAGACTGCTACTAGTGGAGCCCATGATATTGCAAAGCCTCTACAGCATCCATAATCTTATTGTGGGAGCCTTATCTATAGCTGGTGAAGGCAGAAATCCAGATTGAGGGGTCTGTACTATCTGTTCCTCCCCAGTACCTGCTGTACCCGCTGGCCAGCATCAGCCAAGCTGAAGAGCAGTGAGGAGACCTCAGCAGTGCCAAAGAATGTAGGACTTGGGCAGAGCAGAGTGACCCAGACTACTGCAACAGGAGCCACCACAGCAGGAGGTCAGCAATTTTCTGCTTCATTTGGCTTGGGCACAAGCAAAGGAGTGTGGGCTGCTGGCCAGGAAGGGAGCACATCACAGCTGGCACAGGCACCCAGCCTGACCCGGTGGAGGTAGGGGATGGGAGAGCTGAGGGTTAGCAGGGTGCTGGGCAGAGGCTGTACTGGTCCCACTGCTCATGGGCTGAGGTACCCTGGGAGTGGGGTGAAATCCAACATGTACAGCGTGCAACAGAGTAATCCCAAAACTCAGCTTGGAGGAATGGCTGAGGAAGAATGCCATGCTGGAAGAAAAAGAGGCAGTTGCTGTTTGATCAGTGCAGTGCCCCAGGCTCTCGTCCCTGCAGCGTGCTTTGATTTCATCCTTGTTTCTCCCAATACCCTCCTACACAGGAGAAATTGGATAGAGGCCATGGAGCAGGGCAGCATAACTGTCTGGCTCTCTGCTCTGATCACTGCTGTCGTGCTCCTCAGCCTGCCCTGTCCTTTCCCCTTCACAGCATTCCAGACAAATGGCACCAAGAAGTCAAGCCCTACCTTGAGCTGTGGTGAGATGGGCAGGGACCTCTCTGTTTCTGTTGGTGTGGAAGAGCATCCTCCAGGTGCAGCATCCCAGAAGCTCAGCACTACAGAGCCAGTGGCTGTTTAGAAAGCCTGCAAGATATTGGATTAAAGGCAGATGCCCCAGGAACAAAGAGAGAGGTGAATGATTATATTACTACTTCAAAAGGATCTGATTCTGCAACTAATTAGCTGTTTTTCAGGTGACAGCCGATTTTTTTACTTTTTTTAATGTATTCATGAAAGTGTTGCATTGCAAGGGCCCTGAAAATATATGCAAGGTTTGTGAGCTGGCAGAGAGAGGCTGCTCAAGGTGGGGTTTGCTGGTGATTGGTGCATCACAACCACTGCACAGCAATATAGCAGGACACTGCACCACTGCCATAAGTGCTGTCCTGAGCTGGATCAGAGGAAGGGCTTTGAGCTTGGAGCACTGCTCAGACCCCCCCTGCATGCCCTGAGCTTTCTCCCGGTCCGCAATGGGGCTGTGCTTAGTGGCAGCCCACCAGCTCCATGGCCAGGAAGCAGCTTATGACCAGAGGGCACAGGTGGGTGCCTGTAGGAAAGCTGAGCTGATTTACCTGTTTTCTACTGACTAGCATTGATCTGGAGAAAGAAAATCCCCCCTGAAATCCAAACATTATCCGGTGTGTGGGCCACAGAGCCAGTTTGCTGTGCAGCAGTGAAGGCCAGAGTGGTTCTGTGCAGCCTTGCAGAGTGGTCCTCCCTGCTAAATAGCAACACAGCCTGCTAAATAGCAACCAAAAGCCTTAATGATGGAGCTGTTTTTTAATGGTCCCCTGCACAGCCATTAGTTCTTAAAGAGGATTTATATTACAGCCAGCTCCTATGAAGATATTTTATTGGTATAGTAAATACAGAGAGAGGAATGGTGGCTTTTAGTCTTTGATAGCTTGTGCTTTCCTACCCCATAATTCACAACCCTTTGTGTCAGAGGCTAAAATCTATCCTATATGGGTGTTCTTTGAGGTGTCCCCTCACTTGGCCACTCCAAAAACACCCTTAGATGTCTCCCACCCCCTGCTTCCTGGGTCTCCTGCTTCAGGTTGAGTGATGGAGGAACATCTGGCTGCATGGGGATGTACTCAGGCAAAACATCCCACAGCAAGTGTGCCAGGAGTGCTGCCAGCTCATATTAAATGGCCATGAGGTCACTATGAGCAGTGCAGCAGCATATGGGCTTTTCTCCCTGCCCAGCCTCTGTGGCCATCGTTTGGCACCTCAGGCAGAAAACTTGGCTGAGGGAGGGTCCAAAGTTGTTCTTGTTCCCCCAGGGTGCATCCACAGAGACTCTGGGCCTGGGATCACTGCAGAGAGTCAGTGCCAAGCCTGCAGCTCAAAGCAGCATCAGAAGACTTCATGAATGACCCACAGACACTGCACAGATGAGGGAAAGGCTGAAAGCAGAAGAAGAGCTGCAGAAAAATGTCTGCTGTGTCTGCTCACTGAGGTGTGAGCCATTAGAATTACGCAGGATGTTGTTTTCCTTCTTGCAAGTCATGCCTGAAATCTGGTCTCATAAATGAGCTTGTTTTTATTAGAGGGAACTCGCCTTTACTGGGTTATAAATCTGAACGTGAATGTTAATTTTATAACTCTGCATCTAGAGAATAGCAGAAACACAAACACCACAATCCAGATAGCATGGCCAAAAGCACAGACACCGTGTCCCAGTGTGTTCCTGAGGAATTTCAAGCAGGACACAAGTGCTGCCTCCTCCCTCCCCAGTGGGCTGCTCCAGATCCAGTGGAGGTGAGCAGGACGTGCCTGGCAGAACTCACAGCTTACATGAGTTAAACAGTGATGAAGAATCAGTAGGACTAGGTGTTGTTATCCCATAGTTCAGGCATTTTTTGGAAATTCCTGTGGCGCTTGCTGAGGGCCCAGGTCATGGCAATAGGGGAGGTTGTTTCTCATATTCCTCTCTGCTCTGGCAGAATCAGCTGTAGCTACTCATCTGCTGGGTTTGGGCATTGAGTGTTGTGCGTGGCCCTGCACCGAGCACCATCCCACTCCAGGAACGTGCCTGGCGACGCTCCGGAAGAGGCTGATGCCATCAGCTGCCTCACAGTTGTTTCCTCATGAACAAATTAAATGGCTCATCTCCTAAATTATTTGCTTGGAACCTTTTCTTTGGTGCAGAGAGGCTCTGGCTGTATAAACCAAGAAGAAAATTACATGATGTCAGGGTACTGCAAATAGCACGGTCTTGCCCAGAATAAAAGCTCTTGGAGGTGCCTTGCCTGCCTTGCTGAGAGAAGTGATTTCAAATGTAGTAGACTACTCTGTGCCCAGTGCTCAAATTACAGCTGAGTCTACACTAGAAATTCCTCCTGGAAAAGCATTAAGTGTTAAGAATTTAAGTTTTTATGCCAACACTTCTTTGCTGGCAGAAGAAATTTTGTGCTGGCATAGCTGCCTTCACATGACTTGTGCTGGCTTAGAAATGTCATGAAAAAATGGCATCCCTAAGGAGCATGGCTGTGCCGGTGGAACTTTTATCTGTAACTCAGTCCTGGAGATAATCTGTGACTGTAACTAGAGTCAGTGTGTTTTTGCTGGTATAGCTTATGTCATTTCTTTGAATAAACTAGGTTATAATTTCAGAGTTACCTCGGCGAAGCTTTTCAGTGCAGACGAGACCTATGTGTTGATTAAGAACAGATACACAGGCACGCAACACTAGTGTTAGAAAGGTATTTTTGTGATGAATGTTAAGGATGCTGATTAACTCTCCTCTGACAAGTGTTAAAGCTGTGAAGTGTGCTGACCCTGTGGCAGGCAGGTACCTCAGCAGATGCTGCAGATCAAAGGGAGGAGCAGAGCTGTTCAGTGGTTTCATTACTGACCGTGGCAGGCAGCAAAATGCTGCCTTGTCCCATATGGAAAGTGGCTCAGCCATTAAAGATTTGTAGTTGCTCTGTCTGTTGGTAATTATTTCCAAGGTTGGTTTAAAGAAACAGCTGACTGAAGTGGCATTGGTTCTTTTGAGACTGACTTAGGGAAAATAAAATTTGATGCAATCACTGCAGATGGGAGCCAAGACAGAAATGACTTTGAGCAAAGGCACAGTGTCTTTGAATTCCAAAAGCAGCCTGAGGAGTATACATATACAGCAGGGACTGTGACAACCTGATCCTCCTCACTCAGTTCAGAGGAAATATCCTATGGTTTACAAGGAGATTAAGATTGTCCAGAGAAGATGTGGATGCCCCATCCCTGAAAGTGTTCAAGGCCAGGTTGGATGGGGCTTCAAGCAACCTAGTCTAGTGGGTGACAACCCTGCCTATGACAGGGAGGTTGGAACTAGATGGTCTCTGAGGTTACTTCCAACCCAAAACATTCTATGACTCTCTGATAGGGCATCTGAGGTGTTGTCACCACGACAGCTTGTTGCTTCTGCACTGTGTGTGCTTGTGTTGCTCTCTTGCAGACCTGGGGCAACTCGTACATCAGGTGCCAGCTGGCATGTGTGCACTTGCTATCACTCTGGGTGAAGAACCTTTTCCTAATATCCAACCTAAACCTCCCCTGACTCAACTTCAGGGCATTCCCTCGTGTCCTGTCACTGGTCCCCACAGAGAAGAGATCAATACCTGCCCCTCCTCTGCAGGTTGTAGTTAACTGGGGAATGTGTCACTCAGCTATTCTAAAGGTTTGATTTTTTTTTTCTTGCATTATAATAGAACAGACTCAAATGCTTCAAAGCTGTTTTCACCACCTGAATGTGCAGTGAGGAAGATCATCTTTTTCTCATTCATGTGCCCCTTATTGCTCAGAACTGTGTGTTCATCCAAGGTGTGTTGGTCAGTCCAGCTGGTCTTGTAGGGCACTTTGTTTTTTGCTTTGAAGACCTGTGCAAAGGTGCTGGACTCAGCCTGGAGAGAATGATCTGAATGTCCTAGAGACCCATCTACCACTATGATTATGTAACTCACCTCAGAAACCCAGGATAAATGATTTACACTTCCATTTAGAGCCTATTTGTAGCTTCTCATCCAGAGGCCGCCTAAGCCGCCTCCTTCCCCATCTGCACTTCAAATCTCTCAGAATGGAAAAGTGTGTGGAGCAGGTTCTTACTCCCAAGACAGCCCTGAAAGCCATCTTAAATTATGGTCCTTGCATGAAAAATGAGTCACTAAGAACCACAACATACTCTGCCTTCTTTGAGTAGTTTTAAGCCAAGTTTTCATAGTTAGGTTGCTTTTTTTTAATTTTATCTGGATATTTGATATGCACTTATTAAAATTATTTCCCTTTAAAACACTGTTTGTGCTTATCCACAGACTTCAAATATGTTTGAGGGGAGAGGGTTGGAACAGCTAACTGTTTCTGAATACCTCACACATTAATAGTGTCAAGTACTTGGTATCTTTATGTAGCATTTGCTTCTAAACCTGCAGTCAAACCAGGGCCCCACAATCCAAGGCAAACATCACACCAGTCTCAGAGAGCCTCACAGCTGAGTGACCTCAACCATCCCCCAGTGCCTTCTCCTTGCTGGAGAGGGGAAGCAGCCATTCCAGCAGCAAAAGATTTAGCTGTTGAACTGATATGTGGCTTCTCCTGCTCACCCTTTCCAGGGAAGTACAAGGTCTCTGTAGAATGGAAAAGATCTGCCTTGCCCTCTGCAGGTGCCCAGTTCAGCCCAGTGCTGCAATTTCAGCCATGGCTTGTAAAGGCAAGGGCCAAAAGTCCCCGACTGGAGCCCATTAGGAGAGCAGTCTGACCTCCCTCTTCCTGGATCAGTGTAGTGGGTTGACCCTGGCCAGATACCAGGTACCCACCAAAGCTGCTCTCTCACTCCCCTCTGCAACTGGACAAAGGAGAGAGAGAAGAAAAACAGCTAAGAATTCATGATAGAGATAAGAGCTGGGAGAAGTCAGTGATTGATCACCTTCGCGGGCAAAACAAGACTCAAAGTGGAGATAGTACTTATATTTATTACTAACAGAATAAAAGCCAAAGAGTGAGAAATAAAACATTCTTAAAAAGCACCTTCCCCCCACCCCTCCCTCCTTCCATGTTCTCCCTCCTCCCCCTCAGTGGTGCAGGGGGACAGGGAACGGGGGTTGTTTCTGTTGAACGGTCAGTTGTTGTTTCTGCCCCTGCTCAGGGAGAGGAGACCTTCCCCTGCTCCCGTGGGGTGCCTCCCATGGGAGACAGTCCTTGATGGACCTCTCCAATGTGAGTCCATCCCCTGGGCAGCAGTTCTTCCCAAACTGCTGTCCTGTGGGTTACTCCTCCATGGGGTCAGTCCTTCATGGATGAGCTGTACCTACGTGGGTCCCCCACAGGGGCCACAAGTCCTACCCGGGAAAAACCTGCTCCAGCCTGGGCTTCCCTCTCCACGGGCTGCAGGTCCCTGGTAGGACCCTGCTCCATCCTGGGCCTCCCACAGGGTCACAGCCTCCTTCATGCATCCACCTGCTCCAGCATGGGCTCCTCCATGGGCTACAGGGGGATCTCTGCACCCCAATGGTCCCCCATGGGCTGCAGGGGCACAGCTGCCCCACCATGGTCTGCACCATGGGCCACAGGGGTCACAGCTCTGGCGTCTGGAGCACCTCCTGCCCCTCCTTCTGCACTGACCTTGGTGTCTACGTTGTTACTCCCATGTTCTCACTCCGCTCTTCCCTGGCTGGAATTCTTTTCTGTGCAACAACCTTCTGTTCTTAACTATGTTATCACAGAGGCATTACTGTCACCCCTAATTGGCTCAGCCTTGGCCAGCAGCAGAAAGTCCATCCTGGAGCCGGCTGGCATTGGCTCCATGGGACAGGGGAAGCTTCCAGCAGCTTCTAACGGAAGCCACCCCTGTAACTCCCCCAAACACTACCAAAACCCAGCCACAGAAACCCATTACAATCAGTCAGGCTGAGTCAGGGCAGGGGGCAAGTCAAGTAATTTCTCCAGCCTCCCAGGAAAGGAGACCTGTGGTCCAGAAATCCTATTTCCTGCTAGCCTGTTCCATGTGCAGCCACTGGGCCACATCATCCATGCATCCAAAATGTCTCCTGGGGGGCGGATGCTTCTCCAGGTTCAGCCGTCTGTTCTCAGCCCCTGTTGGCATAGAAACACCCTTTCCAATTAACCTTCTGCAAAATATACACATACAGAAACATCCTGCAAACAAATGATCTTCTCTTTTCTTTCTGTCTCTCTTTTTCCTTTTTTTTTTCCTTCCTTTTGGCCTGTGAGAACGAGGAGTCAGGAGAAGCGTGAGTCTGGGTCTTTTTAATTTTAGAGCATTTCAGACTCTCTGCAGGCTGTTGCCAGGCTGTGTAGCTGCTCCCTACCGATAGTAACAGGCAGACAAAATACTAAGCAATCAAATTTCCCCTCTCATTCAGCCCTGTCCTCCGAACGTTTTAGAAGAAAGAATGAGAGCTGGG